GTGTGTGTGTGTGTGTGTGTGTGTGTGTGTGTGTGTGAGAGAGAGAGAGAGAGAGAGAGAGAGAGAGAGAGAGAGAGAGAGAGAGAGATTTACAAGTCAAAAGAATAAGACTTTTTGGTGTTGGGATTCAAACATATGGCCCTCCATACTCTAGGTTGGTGAAATGCCAGGAAGGTACATATTTAGCTCTCACATTTTGGGGGAAATTCAACTAACTTTAATGGATTGTTCAAAAATTGGTTACCAAATAAGCAGAATTTCATAAGTTTATTTAACATTTTCAAATTGCATAACCTTTAAATAAAAATTAAGTAATAGACTCAGGTATCATTTTTACAGAAGTCCTGAATTCGTTTTAAGTTTGATTTCTTAATTCTCATTCATTTTTACTTAATGAACATAAATGGCATGCCATTTGTTCTTTTAATATATCTACATTTGAAGTAATGCCATTCTACAGCTAAATGACCAGCTTCTAGACAGCATGTCAGATTTCTAACTCATTGTGATGTATTTCAATCATCTGGTAGCTCTACCAATAGCTATGATATTTGTTTCCTCCCTATATCTACAACCTTTGTTATATAATTTTCATACCCTTCCATTCCAAAATGTTGCATTCAACTATGAAATTTTCTTTGTGCATACTAATTGTGCAATAATCATCTATTAATTATTACTAGTATTTATCGTCTTTGAAATCCCCTCACTTGACATACATGTAGCAGATGTATGAGACTTCAAAATTACTTTACCATGCCATATAATTTAATATGCATTTATAGGTACAATGAATGTGTTAACTCTTTTTCCCCATACCCATATATGATATTCTTGACAAATTCAGTTGTCTCAAATTTATAAAAAAAAGAATCTAAACAATTATTTCCAGCTTATAAAGAAACTATGTTACCAACCCAAGTGAAGACTATATTTTCCGAGTTCTGTTTTATTGGACATTCTTTGTTAGAAATTTACAAACATCAGTTGTAAATGCATAGAACTTCATGATATTACATGCTTCAGCTGGTAAGGCTTTTCATTTTAGATTTTCATCTTATTAACCAGAAAAAAAATTGGAAGACCAAATTCTCTAAACTTTCCTTAATGTGAAAAATGAAATGTGCTCGGCCTGTCCAATTCCCCCAACAAGCACAACTGGCTGTACCTGAAGGCCCGGCCCTTCCCTGATGGAGTAGCTGAGGACACCGACAAGGGTGAAGTATCTGCTTGCCAGGAGCTCAAGGCTCGTGCATGCTATCTGGCTGAAAAGTATGAGTGGGATGTCACTGAAGCCTGAAAGATCTGGTGTTTCTGGCCTGCTGGCACTGGCCCCAACATTCTCACTGACACCACCAAGGGTGTGCAGTACCTGAATGAGATCAAGGACATTGTGGTGGCTGGCTTCCAGTGGACCACTAAGGAGGGTGCGTTCTGCGAGGAGAACATGCATGGTGTGTGTTTTTACTTTCACAATGTGACCCTGTATGCTAATGCCATCCACCGAGGTGGTTGCCAGATCATCCCTACCGCCCGTCGCTGCCTCTATGCCAGTGTGTTGACTGCACAGCCCTGCCTTATGGAGCCCATCTACCTGGTGGAGATCCAGTGTCCTGAGCAAGTTATGGGTGGCATCTATGGTGTCCTGAACAGGAAACATGGTCATGTGTTTGAGGAGTCCCAGGTAGCTGCCCCCCACCCCATGTTTGTGGTCAAGGCCTACCTGCCTGTCAACGAGTCCTTTGGTTTCACAGCTGAGCTGTGCTTCACCACCACTGGCCAGGCCTTCCGGCAACATGTGTTTGACTACTGGCAGATCCTGCCTGGGGACCCTTTTGAAAACAGCAGCTGTCCCAGCCAACTGGTGGCTGAGACCCACAAGCGTGAAGGCCTCAAAGAGGGCATCCCATCGCTAGACAACTTCCTGGACAAACTGTAGGCGGCCTGGTACTGCCAACACTGCACGGTGCCTGCCCATCAGAAGACACCTTGAGACTGTCCCCATAGTGCTTCCCGGAGGTTGCTGGGGCTACCCTGCCATCACTCAGCACTAACACTTGATGCTGATTCTATTTATTTCAGAATTCCAAGGCAGTGGAGTCTCCTATGCAGGCTGGACTGGTGGGCCATGGGGTGGGCGGGACACAGCTCTATCATTTTCAGAGGGAAATGCTGAGATGTCAAATGTCTAAATAAATGCATTCAGAGGTTTACTGGGTCCATCCATGGCCCAAGTGGAGTTTCCCCAGAGGGAAGGCAGGCAGCCTGCCGGCAACCCTGGCTGTGCAACCCTTAGAGTAATGAATTGCATGGTTGACCTCAAAAAAAAACAAACAAAAAACCAAAAGAAAACAAAAAAGATATTTAGGCATTGATCCTGACAACATATATAAAACACTTGACAATTTGCTGATATATGGAAAGAACTTATTATACTATAGGATCTTAGTATTCTTATATGATCTCCATGAAGAAATACTAACTTCTATGAAAGGATATTAATAGATTTTTTTTCTGAGAAAAGAGAGTCACTTAGTTCTGAAAGTAAGCTACAATCACACATCCTATAATAAGGTTTCAGTTTTTTATAGAGAAATATATAATGTTGATGCCTTTAAATTATAATGGGGTGGGAAAATTTTTATCACCAACTAATGTTTCAGCCATCCTATTGTCACAGTCCCATGTGTTACTCTAAGATACTATGGTAAGAAAATATGCTGTGCTGCACTCAAAGGAACAGTGCATGCAATTAAGTACCTTATTCTTAATAATGATAGTAACCAACTATATTAATAATTACTTATCTAGAATATTATACTTTTGTCATAATTTTAAGGTGAAATCATACTTAGAAACAAAATTGACTATCTAACATTATGCTGTGTATGCTCCCAAGAGGAGCCTCAATCATGTCATATTTCCATTGTTCCCTGTTTTGTATGAATATATTCTGGTGTTCACCTGAGAATGACATCACCTAGCAATGTATTTCTGAAAATGTATCAGTGTTGGGAAGTGTCTGAACTGTATTGTTCCTGTATTAGCATTTAGTGCACCAATGTATTTCATAGCATTATTGTTTTACTCTCCAGTGGCCAGCTGAATTCCCAGATTTTCAAATGATATATTATTATTTCTTTCATTGCTATTATTATATATGGCAAAATATAGATAGATTGTGTCCAGAAATAGCACCATGAAACTTCAGAGGGCAATTGCTACAGTACATGGAATCTAAGGCTCCCATTTTATATTTAAGAAAACTGCAGGAAGAGACACTGGTTCACTAGTTAAAGTTGCTATTAGTAAGCACTTTGCCACCTTCTTTTTATAAATTTTCTTACCCTGATATGATGAATGCATAGTTGTGAAATTCTTTGTATCACAGTATTTTAACATATTTTTTCTCAAAATAGCAAAGACATGCTGAACTGGGCTTAAACTTCTTTTGGGAACTGCCAATAAAAGAAGTTTAAAACTTACAGCAGAATAGCAGATTAACATGATGATATAAGAAAGCTACACAGTGAGCACCTTAAAATGTCATGTTCACCACTTTGGTGCAAAGACAGAAGAAAGTTGGAGTGCAGCAAGAGGTAAGAGTATAAAAATTATTGAGACTTCTCTAGCAAACAGTGTCACTGTAAATTGTGGTGGCTTTGAATGCATTAGAAGGGTTTTCTTTTCTCTTTTTCTCACTTTCATTTGCAATGTCAAAGTTTTAAATTTAATTGACAACAAATGCATATATTCATGAATTATACTATGATATTTGATAGCCATATACCTTATGGAATGACTAAATTTAACAAAGATATCTGTCCTCTCAAATATTTGTCATTTCTTTCTGGTCCCATTTTCAATACAAAGAACATTTATCATCCTCTCTTTAGCAATCTTGAAATATTCATGCTGTGTAATAGTACATCAGTGTTTCTTCTTCAATAAAGTTTCATACTTCTTGACAAATATTTCTATTGCTCCTGTGTAAATCCAATGGGAAATTTTAATTCTTCCTTTTTTATAAGGTTGTATTGGGTTGAGTTTACATATAAGTAAAATCACATATCATTTCACTTAGTATAATGATCTCTATGTCCATTACGTTGTTTCAGATTATACAATTTCTGTTATTAAGGCTAAAAAATATATGTATATACTCTAATTTTAATTTATTTATCAATTTATTTGGATTTAGGATAATTTTATATTTTCACTCTTATAAACACTGTGACCATGAATCTGAGAGAACATACATTTCTTTAAAATGCTTATTTCAACTTATTCAAGTGTGTTCTCAGAAGTAGAAATGTTAGATCATTCAATAATTCCATTTAAAGATTTACAGGGAAAACTTGATATTGTTTTTGAAAAGATTATACTAATTAAAAATAGATCCATCATTTTCTGGATTATGCTAAAATAAATAAATAAATCCTTACCATCACTAGTAGTAATTTTTCATACTAGCTCATCTAAAATGTATGTGGTGATAGTGTATGGTTTCATTGCTTTAATTTGTATGTCTCTGATGATTTAGGGATGTTCAGCATGTTTCTTATACTGTTGGCTATTTATACATCTTCTTTGGAGACATGTCTGTTCATGATTATTTACCAATTCTTAATAGGGTTATTTGTTTGCTGATATTGAATAATGTGTTTCCCATGCATATTTGGAAGGCTAGTCCTTTGTTCAATGTATGAAAGAAGATTTCCATAATACCCAAAGACATCTAGATTCAATTAAATCTCTTTCAAATTTCAAGTGCATCCCTCTACTTGAAACTAGAAGAAACATTTTATTTTTTGAACATGCTATGAAAGAGATTATGGACATATTCTCATTTACAATAGCCTCAAATAAAATAAATTTTTTTTGCAATAGACCTAACAAAGGAGGCAAAAGACTACTATAATGGAATTAGAAGAAGGAAAAGCAGTTGAGGGAAATGATATACTAATATTTTAATATGGAATACAAGTTTAAATCTCTGAAGAAAGAGATTCAAGGAGACACTAGAAAATGAAAATACTTGACATACACATGGATTGGCAATCCAATATTCTGTGGATTATTGTTCTACCTAATAAAGTTTAAAGACCAAATGCAATCTCAATCAATATACCAACTGTATTTTTTACAGAAATAGAAAAAGTTATCTAAAATTTATATGAAACTGCAACACCTCAGATAGCCAAAACAATATTAAACAAAGAGAAGACTATATTTATTATCCAATACAAAAAGTAATTCCAAATGAATGAAAGACATCATCTGAAACTTGAAACACCACAACTGCTGGAAGAAAACGTAGACAGGACTTTATCATTGATAGAGGTCATAAAAGACATTCTGAATAGTTACAATTCCTTTCCAGTTACATTTATGACAAAGGATTAATAGCCAGGAAGTATGAAGAACTAAATAAACAATTAGTTAAGGAAAACAATTTAATTAAAAATGGGTTATGGAGCCAGGCGGTGGTGGCGCACGCCTTTAATCCCAGCACTTGGGAGGCAGAGGCAGGCGGATCTCTGTGAGTTCGAGGCCAGCCTGGGCTACCAAGTGAGTTCCAGGAAAGGCGCAAAGCTACATAGAGAAACCCTGTCTTAAAAAACCAAAAAAAAAAAAAAAAAATGGGTTATGGGACTTAAGTCTGATTAGACAGCTGTTGGTAGTCACCAATACGTGAAGGTCTCTTATTGCAAGTGTAAACCTATCTTGCCATGCTGGTAAGAGGTATTGTTCATAGGTGAAACATTTATATAATTATATAAATATCATTGAAAACTCAGGAGTCGATAATGGGGTAAAAACAGGATTGGTCAGAGAAGTGGCAAAGAAGCGATCAGTGACCTCCTCACTCTCTCCTTTCTCAATGCAAGATGATGGAACATCTCTCTAAACTCCTCCCTACTACTCCCTGTGTCTTTCTACAGGTCCTGAGTACTCCAAAACCTCTATGATCAGTTTTGGTTGGCTAGTAGCTAGCTCTGTGGTCAGATTCAAGGTAAACTTTATTGTCAGCCTTGGAGATATCAAAGTGTAATCAAAATATCTTACAACACATAGGTGCTGCAACTAGTATGACTGTTTGATTGCTTCCCTCCTTTAATAGCAGCTTGCATAGTATTTTTGGAACCATGGAAGGTAAACCTCAGAAAAAAGGGTTTCAAGTCAGAACCAGCTTGAATAATGTGAGTCCTGTGTCTTAAATGTGTGATGTCTTCAGCAATAAGTGTGCATCCTCAATCACAGAGCAATAACCAAGTGCTACCATGATAATCTTTATTGTTTTAGGAACCATTTGGACTACTCTGACCAACCATTTGAAAGAAAGTTTCTCATGCCTAATTCTGGGGTTTTTGTTGGTCTGTAGTCTTGTGGGAAACATTGTTAGTCTGACTTAACTTCCTTGAAATATATACACATGTATTCATTATATATCAAATATAATAAATACTTAATATTTTATAATATAATAAACATAATATAATATATGTATTGTGATGGATTGAATGAAAATGGCCTCTGTACACCCATAGTGAGTACCACTCTTAGGATGTGCCCTTGCTGGAGTAGGTATGACCTTGTTGGAGGAAGAATTTCATTGGGGTGTTCTTTGAGATTTCAAATGCTTAAGCTAGGCCTAATGTCATTGTCTTTTCCTTCTGTCTTTGAATTCAAATACAGAACTCTCATCCATCTCTTCCATCACCACATATGCCTGTGTGCCACCATGCTTCCAATCATGAAGACAATGGATTAGACCTCTGAACTGCAAGCCAGCCTCAATTAAATGCATTCATTTATAACAGTTGTCATGGTCATGGTGTTCCTTCCCTGCAATAGAAATCTTAACAAAACATAAGTATGTGGTAGTTTGAATAAAAGTGGCCCCTATAGGCCCACAGGGAATGGCATTATCAGGAGGTGTGGATTTGTTGGAATAGGTGTGACTTTGTTAGAGCAAGTGTGTCCCTAGGGGGTGGGCTTTTAGGTCTCAGATGCTCAAGCCAGGCTAATGGCTCACAGTCTCTTCCTGCTGCCTGCTGATTTGGACATAGAACTTTCAGCTCCTCCAGCACCATGTTTTCCTGCATGCCACCATGCCATCCCCCAATTAAATGTTTTCCTTTATAAGAGTTGTCATGGTCATAGTGTCTCTTCATAGCAATAGAACTCTTAACCAAGACATA